ACCTGAGCTATCTGCAGCAAAGAACATACTTAATGACTCTGCAGCTTCCCTCATCACATTATCTTCACTAGTACCCTCCTTAGCTTGTTTATTTACAGTACACCCATCTGCGTCTGGATCTGCAAACATAACACACGCTCATGTTTGAACCCTATTACAAAGATTTACAGTTAAGAAAGCAAAGATTCTGTAACTCTGCATTGCTGTTTTAATATAAAACATGAATAGTAGAAATCCGCAAAACCAGATTTAACTGAACCAAATCCTCAGTAAAGCGGACAATTTTCAGGGTTCCGAATTTTTCAATTCTATTTTCATTGTATAAATTCAAAATTCTCACAGAACTGGGAACTCAGTATCAGGATACTTGCAGACAACTTTCAAAACTGGATATGCATGCATCAGTATTTGTCAGTGATTGTTACTTCACTGTACCCAATTAAGTAATTATCCTAATATATTGACAATTTTCCTTAATCACCATTATACAAGTTATATGTCATTTGACTGTAAAAAAATATCTCATTTATTTATGTAATCATATCTTATGTCCTCACAAGTGAACTAAGTGATTTAAAAACCTGTGGAGACCATAATTATGTAAAACCATCAATATAAAATTTGCAGTTCTAGTGCTTGCAAACACCAGTCCTGTAAAATGTTGGATTTTCATAATCAGAAGAAGTGAAAACTCTACAATCCATCTAAAGTTATAAGAAATATAAGGTCATATTTTGTATGATTCAAAGCCAGAGTGAACACTAAAGCATGTCTGCTGTTGACAAAGGCATAACAAAACTCAATTTCTACAATGAAGTTTAAGAAAAACCAAAAACCACTACCATTAAGTTTTCTTTTCATATCATTTTGCTGGTTACCATCTGCTCTATTGTTACCTCTGCCAGGCCCTCTATCACGACCACGCCCCCTGCCACGCCCTCTTTTATTATCCTCTCTCCTGTGCATTTTTCTGCATTATACAAAATAATTTATTGTACCAGATATACATTTTCAGAATAGTAGGAAATAAATGTTTTATAGTGTGATGGAGAATAATTATAAAACATTTATGATAAAAGGGGGAAATAAAATTTTATAATCATGAAACAATTAAATTTGACTCAAGCTGTTCATGTTAATAAATATCTACTGTAAAACATTTTTCATCATAAAAAATATGGAGTGGAGGCAAAAGGTTTAAGTGGGGGATGGGTCTTTTTTCTGTAAATTTTCTGTTTTTCTGTTTAAAAACAAAAACCAACATAATAATGAAAAATAAAAGTTCACTTCTTACAAATAAACATGAAAGGTAATGTTCAGCAAAATCTGTAGGTCTCAAATTTGCAAGAAGGTTATTTGAACCACTGCATTAACCAAGCCAGGCAATACATTCATTTTAATGTTAACAATACATAATATATCTCGTAATCTAAAATACAAATCAATTTTTATATTTATGTTAAATAACAGTTAAGCAAATAAATGATTTCTTACCCAAAATATTTCTCCTCAATAACTTCCCCTCTGGCTATACGTTCTGCTAGTATGGCTTTCTTCTTTTCAATATTTTCTGCAGTTGGGAAATTCCTGCCAAGACAGACATTGAATGGATATATTTACAAGCATAATGTAAAATTTGTATCCAATTATATGCCTTTGCCTGTGTTATGTAATTTTTTCATTTACACAATTATTTACTTTACAGCTGTAGAAACAAAATGTTACAGAATAACTCCGAGTTATTTCCCTCTTGTTAAAAACGCCAATATATCATTATCTTATATTATTATACATTATATATCATTCTACATTATATATCATTTCTTCTATCTTATTATACATTATATATCACTATCATAGATCATTCTACATTATATATCACTACTTCTATCTTATTATATATAATATATATCTATCTTATATCATTATACAATATACATGATAATTTTTATCATTTTACAAAGTACATACTTCTTCCTCTCGTCGATCCATTTTTGTATATCTTCCTGTGACTCCAGGGACCATATCTTCTTTGCCAACCCAGTGTTATGATGCTACAGTTCAAAATTAAAATTTAATGCAAATAGAAAATTCAAACAAATGTATACATTCACTTTATAAATGTAAATATAATACTGTCCGTTATTTACTGTCTGCTATTTTCCACCTTTTAACAATTGCACAACCATAACAACCATAACAAAACATATAGGCATTTTTTTTCTTTGGTTTTTAACCTCAAGAAATAAAAGCCAGGATTAGGTAGAATATCAATTCTATTGTAAACATGAAAATTAATTCCAATATTATTAGAGTTTGATAAAATTATCAAAATTCATGTCCATAAATCTTGAGCATTAAAACTATATACAAATACTAGTCCAGAGGTAGACCGGCTTACCAGTTTTATATGTAACTGTACCAGCTTTCCCGCAGCAACATACGTACAGCCTTCTTTTGGACACTATAATAAAGAGGAAACAATGGAACATATACATTTCCTCAACAGAAAAATATTGGGGATACATCAATATCGTCTCTATTGACAACAGCTCTAAAATTTAGTATGCAATTTGGCGATAATTCACAGTAAATACATTCAAATGTGGAAACTAATACTTTTGGGAAAATAATGGCTATGCAAACTGATAAAGTAAAAGAAAGCAAATGAATGTGCTCTAGTTAATGCAAGATCCAATCATAACAAAACTGTAATCACAAATTTCTCCAAATTTTAATTTGATGTACAAAATTCACAATTTCAATGGTATAGGTCATGCTCTCAAATTACTGATTAAAACTAGTGATGTTCCAATTGTCGCAAGTCGTCGATAATGAGTTACTGTTATGTAAAGCGATTCTGGCGGTAATTTTCTTTTAGGAACACCTCGCCAATTGCAAAAAAATCATCTCAGAGACAATTTGGAGTTAAACAAGATCAATATGTGATGTAAACAATAGTAATTTAATGTGATGTGAATGTTATTATTTGACATCCATTGAAAAATAAAATCTATTTCGTAAAATTAGGACAATTTAAGGTTAAAACTGTGTTGAAAAGTGCTAAATGAAGTTCTTGTTACTGAATATAATCAACTGCCTTTGGAAGAAATGTTACTTCCCTATTTCTTTTAAACGCGACTTTATTCGAAAAGTTATCGATTATGTCCCATCTGATTGAACCGATGATCGATTGTGACAAATTTCATTTGATTTCCATCACTAATTAAAACAGTGGCTGAATGAAGATGTGTAAACAATATTGATGGCAGACTCACCTTTTGATGTTGATCTAAATGAAGTTTATACTTGTCCTCATCTTTATATCCCCTGTCACACGAGTCACAATAAAATCTGTTGTTCTCAGGTAAATCCCTTTTATCTACCTTCTGAAAACAAAAAATATTTAATTTACATTTTTTGTAAAGACATATATCTATTCTAGATTGATTGTAAATTTGTAATAAAAGCCTAGGAGCTGATTTAAGTCACATTTGAATTCACTTTGTAGTATTGTTGTGAAGTGAATTCCTAAACATATCTTAACTCTGTCAACACTAAATATCTCAAATGAACTATTCTCCTTTTTATCAATATTGACAAAACCATACATAATTGCCAGAGAAAATTTATAAATAAACAATGACTGTCTAGCAAACAATGCAGACCAAGGTCAGACAGCATAGATATGTCAGCTGTCTTGGTGTGCAGTGGATGCATACATGGAAACAGTTCCTGCCTGGGATTAAGCAAATGGTCTTAACTGAAATTGTAAACCTATAATTTCTTCAGGAGGACCCAGTACAGGAAACAGACTCCAATAAGCATAAAGGTTCCATCATACACCTCTTCACGAATCTGTACTTCAAAGTCGAGCTGTCATTCACTGTGATTCAGTGCAAACTGCAAAGCATATCAATGATATATTGATTTGTGTAATTTGAATGTTACCTTTTTGTCACCTTGGTGTCTTCCTTTTTGGAATCGTGGCCTCTGTTGTTGGTTCCCTGGTGCTCTAAAGAAGTTCTGGAGGGTGGTTCCAGCCATTGGTCGGTTTGGAGGTCTATTGAACATTTGCCCTGGGTGCTGATTGGGTCTTGGACCCTGAATATTTTTGTTGCTGATGATAAGGTCCCTGAAACTGACTTTGATTACCATGAAAAGGCTGGTTGTTTTGGAACCTTGGTTGTCCATGTGACATTCCAGGTGACATCCCTTGCTGTTGAAGCCCCATTCTAGGATTTTGCACATCCATTCCTTGACGTGGAGATCCCATGTGTTGGTTAAATCCCCTTGGTTGAAAGTTTGGTCTCTGCAACAGCAAGGAAATATGCAGTGATTTTTCTTACTTGATTGGGAAGAGGCCTTAGCCTTTTGTTTTTGGGAAAATTTATCGCTAAAATTGCTAATTTGGGAAGTAAATAAGCAGGTTTAAGTTAAGATATTTGGGAAAACTGCATGATTTTGAAGAAAATTTCAATTGGGAAGAGGCCCTTTTTCGGAGTCTGTTAAATAAGCAGAAAAGTCACTGATATGAATGACCTATTTTTGGACAATATATACATGAATTATAATATGAACATTGCAAACTATGTATGAATATATTTTTCCGTTTAAAACTTTGGAACCAATCTGTAAAGCGCTTCACTCAACCAGTATGGCCAATATAGGCAAAAACAGATGCAATAACTATTAGACGGCGGGCTTGTCCGACATAAACAGTAACAAGACCGTAACGTCTTCTATATTGGACTAGATTAGCCACTGCTAATGCTTGTCTGTTGCAATTTAAACAAACATGCAATAAATAAAAATCTACCTGTCCTGGTGGCGATCCAAACCTGTTTATGTTTGGTCTTTGATGCTGATGGGGTGGGGGACCCCTTGTCATTGGCTGTGACCAGTTTTGAGCCTGAAACCCCCATGGGTTGTTTCGCTGCATGTGATTATTCGGCTGCATGATATATCTGCTTTAAAGAACAAGAAATCATAACAAAAGTAACTATTTATGCTTTATTTACCAAGAGTCGTGGGCATTTCTAAAAATAGACCAGTGACGTATGATGACGTCACAGGAACAAGCATGGAAATTACCAGAAAATGTTGAACTATTTGTATTTTGCACTGTCATGATCTTTAATGCATCTCTTAAGACTTATTTCCGATTATCTAGCTCATTTTATATAGGTACCATTTTGCATTCACATGCATTTTCCTTTTCCTTGAGTCGTGGCTAACATGTATGTCAACAGTAGTGTAAGAAAACATTGGTCAAATCTCAGTGAACTATTTCAAGTTACCTAACAAATTAATTAAACATCATTATATGACTAGAAACTTCTATCTTTAGCGATTTAGAGTCAGATTTGATTAATTTATTCGGTACTTAACAGTCCTCAATAAGATCTATAAAAGTTTGTAATGAAACTAAAATAAAAAATCAGAGGAACTTTCATTCTGCTTTAAAAATCTTTTATACATTAACAAAATTGTAGCAACAATTGCATTTGATATTTTAATAAAGAATGTGGTTTTCAAATGTTTCCTATTCCGTTAATTTTGCTTTATAAACAAACATAACTAGTTGCAAAAAGACGGAGATACAACAAATGATTTCCAAATTTTATTCAAGATGGATAATGGATCGATAATAGATATAATGATGCCGATGACCAAGTGTTAGTTTATATTTCAATTAATAGTTCAGTGAGACTTTCTGTTGGCCCAATTTTGGCGCGAAATTAAGTCGCACCTGTTCCAAACACCGGAAACCAGTAGGTTGTTGTTGTTGTTGTCAAAAAATGTAAACAAACCCTACAAATGGCCAAATTATTCGATTATTACAGTATTTACAACTTTTTAACAACAAATTATAAGAAATATTAACTTCTAAAATACATTTTTAACCATACAAAAAGTCATTTATGATTTTAACCAACCCACGACTCAAGGAAAACCCACGACTTAAGGAAAAGCAGCCATACTTGTCACTCTCAGAAGTAAATTTGATCATTGAATGTTTTTTACTAGTTCACATAAATTTACTCTGTTGAAAACATAAACCAATTCTTAACTATTTCAATATGATTCCCATGATGTTTGTTTGCGCATCTTAGTAATACATAATATTACCTAGATAACGCTTGTTTCAAGAAAATACTTGGAAAGGCTAACAACAATAAAAAATAAACATCGCGAAAACATATAACAAATTAACAAAACTAGGCAGCGAGAATAAAAAATAAAAATTCTCCTTCAGGGAAAAATCTGTCATAGTGTATGATTTTTATTTTGCTTTTATAGAAATAAACAATTATTCTTATACATAAAAAATAAGAAATTAAATTTACCATGCGATGTTAATATGCTGAGAGAGTAGCTCCCCTTTATCTTAGGTATGACACCACTATAAGTTTAAAGAAAGTAATTATATGTTTAAATAAATATTGAATTAATCATAAACATAAATGTCAATTAATATTTATATATATAAATATTTGTTTCATATATTATATATATGTCAAATATTTAAAAAAAAAGATATTGCAAAAACATGTGATCATTACGAAAATTGATTTAGGATAAGTGATTAAAGAGGGTCCTACTAAACACTGCTAAGGACTGCTAAGGACCGCTAAGGACTGCTAAGGAGCCACAAAGGACTACTAGGGAGGCACAAAGGACCTTAAAATACCTCTTAGGGCATTCTTATAATACATGGTAGTATGTTTAGTGAAAAAAAAATTATATTTTTAAGAAAAAATATTATTTTGGTGCAAATTTTATGAGTTGCCGGACCGCTAAGGACTGCTCAGATATACAAAGGACTGCTAGGGAGGCACAAAGGATCTTAAAATATCTCCTAGGGCATTCTTATAATACAAGGTATTATGTTTAGTGACAAAAAATGTATTATTTAAAGAAAAAATATCATTTTAGTGATAAAATTTATGTATTTGAAGAGTTGCCGGACCGCTAAGGACTGCTCAGGTGCACTAACAACTGCTAGGGAGGCACAAAGGGCCTTAAAATCCCTCCTAGAACATTCTTATAATATATGGTAGTAAGTTAATAGACAAAAATGTATTATTGTAAGAAAATAATAATTATTGTGATAGAATTTATGCTTTCGATGACGTGCAGGACCGGCTAAGGACTGCTCAGGTGCGTGGCGCAAAGGACTGCTAGGGAGGCACAAAATACCTTAAAATATTTCCTAGGGAGGCACAAAGGACCTTAAAATACCTGTTAGGGCATTCTTATAATACATGGTAGTATGTTTAGTGAAATAAAATGTATAATTTTAAGAAAAAATATCATTTTAGTGATAAAATTTATGTATTTGAAGAGTTGCCGGACCGCTAAGGACTGCTCAGGTGCACTAACAACTGCTAGGGAGGCACAAAGGGCCTTAAAATCCCTCCTAGAACATTCTTATAATATATGGTAGTAAGTTAATAGACAAAAATGTATTATTGTAAGAAAAAATATAATTTTTGTGATAGAAATTATGCTTTCGATGAGTTGCAGGACCGCTAAGGACTGCTCAGGTGTGCAAAGGACTGCTAGGGAGGCACAAAAGAACTTAAAATATTTCCTAGGGAGGCACAAAGGGCCTTAAAATAACCTGTTAGGGTATTCCTGTAATACATGGTAGTATGTTTAGTGACAAAAAAATGTATAATTTTAAGAAAAAATATAATTTTGGTGATAGAATTTATGCTTTCGATGAGTTTTGCAGGACCGCTAAGGACTGCTCAGGTGCGCAAAGGGCTGCTAAGGAGGCACAAAAGACCTTAAAATATTTCCTTAGGGAGGCACAAAGGACCTTTAAAATACCTGTTAGGGGCATTTTTATAATACATGGTAGTATGTTTAGTGAAAAAAAATGTATAATTTTAAGAAAAAAAAATAATATTTTTGGTGATAGAATTTATGCTTTCGATGAGTTGCCGGACCGCTAAGGACTGCTCAGGTGCCACTAACAAACTGCTAGGGAGGCACAAAGGACCTTAAAATCCCTCCTAGAACATTCTTATAATATATGGTAGTAAGTTAATAGACAAAAATGTATTATTGTAAGAAAAATATAATTTTAGTGATAGAATTTATGTTTTCGATGAGTTGCAAAACCGCTAAGGTGCACAAAGGACTGCTAGGGAGGCCACAAAAGACCTTAAAATATTTCCTAGGGAGGCACAAAGGACCTTAAAATACCTGTTAGGGCATTCCTATAATAACATGGTAGTATGTTTAGTGGCAAAAAAAATGTATAATTTTAAGAAAAAATATAATTTTGGTGATAGAATTTATGCTTTCGATGAGTTGCCGGACTGCTAGGGACTGCTCAGGTGCACTAACAACTGCTAGGGAGGCACAAAGGACCTTAAAATCCCTCCTAGAACATTCTTATAATATATGGTAGTAAGTTAATAGAAAAAAATGTATTATTGTAAGAAAAAATACAATTTTTGTGATAAAAATTATGCTTTCGATGAGTTGCAGGACCGCTAAGGTGCACAAAGGACTGCTAGGGAGGCACAAAAGAACTTAAAATATTTCCTAGGGAGGCATAAAGGGCCTAAAATACCTGTTAGGGCATTCCTATAATACATGGTAGTATGTTTAGTGACAAAAATGTATAATTTTAAGAAAAAATATAATTTTGGTGATAGAATTTATGCTTTCGATGAGTTGCAGGACCGCTAAGGACTGCTCATGTGCACTAACAACTGCTAGGGAGGCACAAAGGACCTTAAAATCCCTCCTAGAACATTCTTATAATATATGGTATTAAGTTAATAGACAAAAAATGTATTATTGTAAGAAAAAATATAATTTTAGTGATAGAATATATGTTTTCGATGAGTTGCAGGACCGCTAAGGTGCACAAAGGACTGCTAGGAGGCACAAAGGACCTTAAAAATATTTGCTACTGAGGCACAAAGGGCCTTAAAATACCTGTTTAGGGCATTCCTATAATACATGGTAGTATGTTTTAGTGGCAAAAAATGTATAATTTTAAGAAAAAATATAATTTTGGTGATAGAATTTATGCTTTCGATGAGTTGCCGGACCGCTAAGGACTGCTCAGGTGCACTTACAACTGCTAGGAAGCCACAAAGGACCTTAAAATCCCTCCTAGAACATTCTCATAATATACGGTAGTAAGTTAATAGACAAAAATGTATTATTGTAAGAAAAAATATAATTTTGGTGATAGAATTTATGCTTTCGATGAGTTGCCGGACCGCTAAGGACTGCTCAGGTGCACTTACAACTGCTAGGAAGCCAAAAGGACCTTAAATTACTTCCTAGGGGCATTATTATAATATATTGTAGTAAGTTAATAGATAAAAAATATATAATTTTAAGAAAAAATATAATTTTCCTGATAGAAATTATGCTTTCGATGAGTTGCAGGACCGCTAAGGACTGCTCAGGTGCGCAAAGGACTGCTAGGGAGGCACAAAAGAACTTAAAATATTTCCTAGGGATGCACAAAGGGCCTTAAAATACCTGTTAGGGCATTCCTATAATACATGGTAGTATGTTTAGTGTTAAAAAATGTATAATTTTAAGAAAAAATATAATTTTGGTGATAGAATTTATGCTTTCGATGAGTTGCCGGACCGCTAAGGACTGCTCAGGTGCACTTACAACTGTTAGGGAGGCACAAAGGACCTTAAAATCCCTCCTAGAACATTCTCATAATATACGGTAGTAAGTTAATAGACAAAAATGTATTATTGTAAGAAAAAATATAATTTTAGTGATAGAATTTATGCTTTCGATGAGTTGCAGGACTGCTAAGGACTGCTCAGGTGCGCAAAGGACTGCTAGGGAGGCACAAAAGACCTTAAAATATTTCCTAGGGAGGCACAAAGGACCTTAAAATACCTGTTAGGTCATTCTCATAATACATGGTAGTATGTTTAATGACAAAAAATGTATAATTTTAAGAAAAAATATAATTTTGGTGATAGAATTATGCTTTATG